AAAGAAGGAGGGCGGATGGGGGAGAGGAAGAGCAGAGAGAGGAAGGGGGAAGGGGAGTCTGGTCTTGTGTGCCACACCTTTTGGGGGCAAGGCACGATTGTAAGAGGGACTTTACCTAACAAATGCAATCATGCAATCAGTGTAACCTGGTTTCTCATACCCTCAATGAATTCCCAACAATAAAAAAAAAAAAATGAAAGAAAAGAAAGAAAGTGTTGGCAAAGGAGTTACCAAGCTAAAGGCAGGTGGTACAAGTCATCCCATTCTATATCATATCCCACAGTGATATGAAATTTTGTCTAAATCCAAAAACAAACCTTTGGCAGAAGATAAGAATAACTCAAGGGAAAGGATTAATGCCAGATGGTACCAGCAGGTTTAGCAAAGGAAAGACAATCATATATTATATGGGAACCAGCACTTTTCTGAATATACAGTTGTGGCTGATGTCTCTGTTGCTGAAATAGATCCTTTAGCACCTTTGGATAAAGTCTGCCTTCTGGGTTGTGGCATTTCAACTAGTTAGGGTGCTTCTGTGAACACTGCCAAGGTGGATCCTGGCTCTATTTATGTGGTCTTTGTCCTGGGAGGAGTTGGACTGGCAGTGATGTATTAGTCTGGTGCATCTTAGATCATTGGTGTGGACATGAATAAAAATAAATTTGCACGGGCCAGAAACTTTGAAATCTCTGAATGCATTAACTCCCAAGATACTATTAAACCTATGCAGGAAGTGCTCATTGAGATGACTGATGGGGGAGTGGACAATTCCTTCAAGTGTATTGGTAATGTGAAAATCATGAAAGCAGCACATGAGATGTGCCAGTAAGGCTGGGGCGTCAGTGTGATGCTTGGAGTAGCTGCTGCAGCTGAAGAAATATTCACTTGTTCATTCTAGCTGGTTACAGGTTACACATGGGAAGACACTGCCTTTGGTGGGTGGAAGAGAGTAAAGGTATCCCAAAGTTGGTGTTTGAATATATGTCCAAAAAAGATAAAAGTTGACAAGTTCATGACTCACAATCTGTTTTTTGACAAAATTAACAAAGATTTTGATCCATTCAGGGGAGACCATTCAAACTGTCTTAAAGATTTAAATTCAAAAGAGAAAAATAAGTTCTTCCTATCTTGGTCTGATAGGAGAGCCCAACAGGTGAGGAGAAGTTCTTTCAAGGTCACAGCCTCTTAGACCTTCACTTTAGGCAGTAGTGTTATGTGTGTAATTCATAAATCTCTGTAATCAAGAACAAGGCTAATTCAGTCATAAATCTATTATCTGTACCATCCTTCACATAAATAATTACCTCATTTAGGAATATTTTAACATAATAAAAGTAATTTCTGTTCCATGGTATACATATTTTTTAAAAAGTAATTTATACAAAAATACCCCACATTAATCTTTAGGACACTTTACAATTTTACAAAGTACTTTTCAGTTGTAGGCAGAGCAAGTATTATCATCCCTGCTTTACAGAGAAGGAGTCTAAGGCTCAGAATTACAAAGTGAGTGGTACAAGACTACGTCCTAAATACCAGATTCTTGCTGCTGAATTCCTTGTGAAGTGTGCTCTTTGCTATATTACTCTGCTGGCCGTGTCTGGTAGGTATAAATTAGAGAGGAGCTATTTCATCAACCCTATAGTTCTTTTCCTTACTTCCTTACTTCTTAAGTAAAGACAATCTTTACCTGTACTTAATCATGTTTAAATTTAACTTTTTGACTTCAGTTTAAACAAATGACAGTAAATCTTTTTAAACCTGTAGCTAAGTCTAGCTGGAAAAAACTCCTCTATGACATTTAAGACATATGCCTGGGGGCTGTGAAGTTAGCAAATTATTTTTATCTTTTTCTTGCTCTGAAAATTAATCTTAACTTTTTCAGTAATGTGCACCTTTCTTTGGACTGATCCTAAACATGCCTGTAGTAGTGATTATTTTGCTGAGTTTTATGAGTATGCTTACAAATTTGGGTCTTATTCTTATTTAACCATAATTATCTGAAACTTAAATTTTGGAAGGTTTTCCCTACCTTTTTTAAGTCAGCCAGGTTATAATGGTAGCTCTGAAACTTACATATGCACTTTTTACTATTTGCTAAATATTTCTCCAACAAATATAAGATTTTCATGAGCTGGGTGTGGTGGCTCATACTTTTGAAAGGCTGAAGCATGTAGATTGCTTGAGCTCAGGAGTTCAAGACCAGCCTGATCAAGAGATCCCATCTCTACTAAAAATAGAAAAAATAAGTGGATGTTGTGGCTGGTGCCTGTAGTCCTTAGCTACTTAGGAGGCTAAGGCAAGAAGATCACTTGAGCCCAAGAGATTGAGGTTGCTATAAGCTATGATACCAGGACACTCTACCCAGGGCAACAGAGTGAGACTCTGTTTAAAAAAAAAAAAGATGGCTCAGTGCCTGTGGCTCTCGAATCCAGTCCAGGCCTGCCAAACAACGACAGCTGCAACCAAAAAATAGCCAGGCCTTGTGGCAGGTTCCCGGCAGGTTCCTGTAATTCCAGCTACTTGGGAGGCGGAAGCAGGAGAATCGCTTGAGCCCAGGAGTTGGAGGTTGCTATGAGCTGCGATGCTACCCAGGGTGACAGCTTGAGGCTCTGTCTGAAAAAAAAAAAAAAAGGGGGCGGTGTGTGGCTCACTGTATAGGGTGTCAGCGGATCACTGGGTAGGGCGCCAGCGCCATATGCCAAGTGTGTCAGGTTCAAACCCAGCCCCAGCCAAACTGCAACAAAAAAATAGCCAGGCATTGTGGCGGGCACCTGTAGTCTCAGCTACTTGGGAAGCTGAGGCAAGAGAATTGCCTAAGCCCAGGAGTTGGAGGTTGCTGTGAGCTGTGTGACACCACAGTACTCTACTGAGGGCAATAAAGTGAGACTCTGTCTCTACAAAAATATATATATGTATTTTCTTTTAAAGATGGGGTCTCACTCTGTCACCTAGCTGGAGTGCAGTGGGATTATCATAGCTCATTGCAACCTTGAACTCCTGGACTCAACTGATCCTCCTGTCTCAGCTTCCTGAGTAGCGTGGGACTACAGGCATATACCACCATACCCAACTAATTTTTCTTATTTTTTGTAGAGACCGGGGTTTCACTATGTTGATCAGGCTGGCCTAAAACTCCTGACCTCAAGCAGTCTTCCCAGCAATGGATTAGCAAGCTGTGATATATGTATACCATGGAATACTATTCAGCCATCAAAAAAGATGGAGACTTTACATCTTTTATATTAACCTGGATGGAGTTGAAACACATTCTTCTTAATAAAGTATCACAAGAATCAAAAAGCAAGTATCCAATGTACTCAATACTAATATGAAGCCAGTAGATGATTGAATACACCCACACAAGAGAAAATCTCAGTTCAAGTTGGGGTAAGGAGGAATGAGGGAGGGGGGAAAGCTGTGGTATATGTATACCATGAAATACTATTCAGCTATTTAAAAAAGGGTGGAGACTTCACATCTTTTGTATTAACCTGGATTGAGATGGAAAACATTCTTCATAGTAAAACATCACAAGAATGGAGAAGCAAGAATCCAATGTACTCAGTTCTAATATGAAGGCAGTAGGAAATCTAATACAAGGTCAGGGGTAGTGGAATCAGGGAGCGGGGAGAGGAGAGAGGGAGATGGGGGTTCACTGTGTATGACACACTTCATGGGGGTAGGACACAATTATAAGATGGAGTTTACCTAACAAATGCAATCAGTTTAACCTAATTCTTTGTACCCACAGTGAATCCCAAACAAACAAACAAAAAATGCATTCTTTCTAAATTACTGGTGGTGTGTGCCAGGTGAATAAAGGTATTATGTTACATAGTCTCGTTGCACCATGCTGTGCCTTTCCTGTCATAAAAATTTCTTGCTTTTTATGTATGCCACGTGGTCATCATTTTTGGAATACATGTTTTAGGGGAAAAATGTTATCCTTGATCTTCTGTCCTTCCTCATGGCATTCTCTTGGTTTCTGTTTCATTTACAACACTCACCTTACTCTAGAGCAGTGGTTCTCAACCTTCCTAATGCCATGGCCCTTTAATACAGTTCATGTGGGTCGTGACCCACAGGTTGAGAACCACTGCTCTACAGTATACTGATATTATTTGTGGACTTGTTTTTGTCTACCACCTAAAGCTCAAAATCTACTGTAGTAGTTCTTAACTTATTTGGGGTTCCTTATTAACCTTTTTTTTTTTCTTCCACACCAGGTCTCATTCTGTTGCCCAGGCTAGCGTGCAGTAGCACAGTTATAGTTCACTGCAGCCTCAAACTCCTGGGTTCAAGCTATCCTCCTGCCTTAAACTCCCGAGTAGCTGGGACCACAGGCATGAGCTACTGTGCCAGGCTGATTTTTTAATTTTGTATAGAAATGGGATCTCATTGCATTGCTTAGTCTGGGCTCAAACTCCTGGCCTCAAGCAATCCTTCTGCTTCAGCCTCCGTGCTAGGTTTATAGGCATAAGCCACCACGCCTGACCCCTTGGTAACCTTTCTGAGACTATGATGAAAGCTATAAAGTATTCTCTGAGAAAAAATGTACATATGTACAAACAAAAGTTCAAGAGCAGGGGTCCTCAAACTACAGCCCACGGGCCACATGTGGCCCACTGAGGACATTTATCTGGCCCGCCAGGTGTTTTTGCCGCCATTGCCTGTCCTGCTTAGCAGCTGACTTGTCCCAGGGCCCACAGTCCAGCCCTCCAACGGTCTGAGGGACAGTGAACTGGCCCCCTGTTTAAAAAGTTTGAGGACTCCTGTAAGAGGTACATGAATTCCAAGGACTCTTTTTGTAGATTGGGTGTTCCTTCAGAGCAATACCTGAGTTTAACTGACCTCTGTGTCTATGGCAGAGCCTACTGCATGTACAGGAGATACTCAGTAAATAGTTTTCTGAATTGATGAATTGGAATGCAAAATGGAAATGATTCAGTTTCTTATTACAGAATTTCTAAACATAGTTTTTTTCTTTGTTTCCATAGGCTTTCATCTGAGTGGCACAGTAACTGAACTGGCCACTGCTTCTGAACCAGCAGTGACTTACAAAGTTGCAATCAGTTTTGATCGATGCAAAATCACCTCAGTGACATGTGGCTGTGGAAACAAGGATATTTTCTACTGTGCTCATGTGGTAGCACTCTCACTCTACAGAATCCGTAAACCAGACCAAGTCAAATTGCGTCTTCCTATTTCAGAAACTCTTTTCCAGATGAATAGGGACCAGCTACAAAAGTTTATTCAGTATTTAATCACAGCACACCACACTGAAGTTCTTCCCACTGCACAGAAACTGGCAGATGAGATTCTGTCCTCCAACTCCGAAATCAACCAAGTGAACGGTAATGGTATATTTTTGTTGCAAAAATAGTCTTTTTCACCACCACTGTCACCAAAGCAACACTTTTACCTTTACTTTGTTGCATGTGCAGAGGTTGAAACATTTCTATAATTGTAATTACTTAACTTTAATCAGTTCATTCTATTCAAACAACTGTGTTTTAACTCTTAGTTTCTTAAAGTAATCCAACTGTCTATCTTAAAGATTTTAATGAAAAAGGACAGAGAATGTTAGAGATATATATTGATCTTGTTTAGGGACTTTCTTTGTTGATAAAGTTCCTATCCTTAGGAGTCTGAAATATTCGACAGTGAGAGAAAGCATGAAATAATTTGTGTCACTTGGTGAATTAAGATGGATATGAGAATTTACTTGACATTTCAGGATCCTGCATAGCATCAGAGTTATCCTAAGAAGCATCTATTAGCATTGTGCTCATGAGCTATAAAGTAGAAGTCCATGGGTGGAGAAAGAGCTTATGTTCATTCATTCAGCAGCTATTTATTGAGAACTACCATGTATGAGGAATAGTGCTGAGTGTTGGAAGAATAATACATAGTTCCTGCCTTTAAGTAGCTTATAATCTGATACAACAGACAGGTCTAAAATAACTGAAATATATGCTTATGGGGTGTTGTTTTTTTTTTTTGAAGGGGGGTGTCTTTGTTTTTTTAATGACAGAGTCTCACTCTGTCACCCAGACTAGAGTACAGAGAAGTGATCATAGCTCACTGCAGCCTCAAACTCCAAGGCTCAGTCAATCCTCCTGTCCTAGCCTCTCAAGTACTTCGGACTATTTACAGTGCCTAGCTAGTTTTTTTTCTTTTTAGAGACAGTGTCTCACTATGTTACACAGGTTGGTCCTGAACTCATTGCCTCAAATGATCCTCCCACTTCAGCCTATTGAGTCTCTGAGACTATAGGCATGAGCCACTGAACTCGGAATTTATTTCCACTGTTCCCATTCCTTACAGGTGCCCCTGACCCCACAGCTGGGGCCAGCATTGATGATGAGAACTGTTGGCATTTGGATGAAGAACAGGTGAAAGAACAAGTGAAGCTTTTTCTCTCCCAGGGAGGTTACTATGGATCTGGAAAGCAACTCAACTCCATGTTTGCCAAGGTAAGATATAAAAAAATGTTCTTCTTTTGTCAGCCTTTTTAGCTTCATGCATTGTATGTACCTAGATCACCTGACCTAGCTTAAATACTTGAAATGTAGTGGGAGTGGCTGATCAGAGCAGATCTGAACAGGTTGCATCCAGGGAGCCCTACTACCTCACGCTAGTAATTCTTTTCCTTCTGCACCACTCTCTAAATGAGTTAGCATTACTGGAATGTTTTAACAAGGAAACTACCTCCTTTCTGCTTTTAACCCAGTTGCTGCCCATTAAAGTCCTGAAGAGTAGAGTTTCAACATTGTCCTTAAAGAGATTTAGTATTTTAAAACTGGTGGCTTTCACAGAGGCTTTGTTTTTCATAACACCTTTAGTGAGACATAATTCACATACTGTACAATTCACCTATTTAAAGTGTGCAGTTCAATGGTTTTTTCTTTCTTAATAGATACATGTAGTCATCACCACACTCAACTTTAGAACATCATTATCACCTCAAAAAAAAAAAAAAAAATGCCATACTCTTACCTGTCACCTTCCTGTCCTCCACATCTCCCTCCTCCAGCCCTAAACAACCACTTATCTATTTTTTATCCCTATAGATTTCCATATTATGGCATTTTATTCATATAGTATGTAGTATTTTGTGACTGACTTCTTTCACTTAGCATAACATTTTCAAGATCCATCCATGTTGTAGTGCTGAATAACAGTGATGTAGTATGGGTACCCACATTTTGTTCATTCATCATCTATTAGTGGACAGGTTGTTTCCACTTTCTGGCTATCATGAATCATAAGCATTCTATACAAATTTAAGGCAGACATATATTTTCATTTCTCTCTTGTAGTATAATTAATGATCATAGGGTAACTCTGTTTAATCATTTAAGGAACTGCCAGATGCTTACCCAAGGTAGCTGTATCATTTTACCTTACCACCAACAGTGTATGAGGTTCCAGTTTCTTTACATCCTGGTCAGTGCATATTATTATCTTTTCGATTCTGCCCATCCTAGTGGGTATAAGTTGTATCTCATTGTGAACATCAGGGTTTCTTGGTTGTACTAAGACAGAACCAGAGGCCTTGTGTCTGGCTTTTTTGGATATATTGTGCTCAGATACTTCATTTTCACCTCCCTCTCCTCCATTTCCTTCTCCTACTTTTTCTATGATGTGCAGTCACCAAACTCTTGCCCTTTATGTGTCAGGTTCGAGAGATGCTGCAAATGAGGGATTCCAATGGAGCCAGGATGCTGACACTTATAACTGAGCAGTTTATGGCTGACCCACGACTCACACTCTGGAGGCAGCAAGGGACGAGCATGACAGACAAGTGCAGACAGCTCTGGGATGAGCTAGGTAAGTCCCCATCTCTTGGAGAAGTGCTTTGTCCTACTAGCTTGCCCAATGGCAAAAGTGTTAGTGAATACTTGCTATTGATCACTATATGGATCTTGCTAAGTCCAGCTAGTGGAGACTTCGCTTCACAGAGGCCACCCAGAGTAACTCTGAGCTCAGTTTTGTTGTTTCCAAAGCATTGTGTTATAATATTGACATAAAGCATTTCGTTTCATGTATTACCACAGAGAACCCTTAACTGAGAGAAAACCTCTTCACTTCTAGTTGCATGTCACTAGCCTGGCTGTCCAAATACTTACCAGCCTCACTTTTGTGGTTTTCCATGGGTCTACCTTTTTGTACCCATCACTCCTAGGCAGACTTCTTAGACATAAGATAGTTTCTAAGACTTAAGACTTTGGCCTTCTATTCTTCTTTAAGAACTTCTGTTTGTTTTTATTATGGGTTAATATGAGGGTACATATGATTAGGTTACATTATTTGCATTTGTAAGGTAAAGTCCAAAGTCTGAGTTGTAGTTCATTCCTTCACCCAGGAAGTGTGGTATATAATAACATACCCTTACATTGTACCCAATAGGTGGGAACTAATAGATACCCTCTCCCCCTCCCTCCTTCTTGAATTGAATTGTGTTTTTCTCTTGTATTGGTCTACGTTTTTCAGATTAGTGTTGAGTACATGCTTTTCCATTCTTGAGATACTTAGGAGAATGTTCTCTAAATCCATCTAAGTAAATACAAAAGATGTAAAATCTCCATCTTTTTATGGTTGAATAGTATTCCATGGTGTGTATATACACCACAGTTTATTAGTCCATTCATGGTGGGCCCTTGGGTTGTTTCCACATCTTTGCAATTGTGAATTGAGCTGCTGTAAACATTAGCAGGTAAAATGATTTTTTTTTTCTTCTGGGTAGACACCTAGTATTGGGATTGTGGGGTCAAATGGGAAGTCTATTTTTAGTACTTTGAGGATTCTACATACTTCTTTCCAAAGAGGCTGTACTAGTTTGAGGTCTCACCAACAGTTCATTAGTTTACCCTTTTGGGCACACCCATGTCGGCATCTGCATCTCCACCTGTGATGTGGGCTATTCTCACAGGTGTTAGGTAATAGCTCAAGGTGTTTTTGATTTGCATTTCTCCTGTGATTAGGGATGATGAGCATTTTCTCATGTGTTTGCCATTCTTCTGTCTTCTTGAAAAAGGTTCTGTTCATGTCACTTGCCCATTGATTGATGGAATTGTTTGCTCTTTTCTTGTTGCTTTGCTTGAGTTCTCTGTATATGCTGGTCACTAGCTCTTTTTCTGATCTGTTTTCTGATTTTGTAACATGTGAATATCCTCTCCCATTCTGAAGGCTATCTCCTTACTTTGTTGATTGTGTTCTTAGCTGTAGAGAAGCTTTTTAACTTGATCAGGTTCCATTTATTTATTTTTGTTGTTGCTGCAGTTGCCAATAGGGTCTTCATGAATTCTTTCCCAAGGCTGATATCGTTAAGAGTTTTTCCCATACTTCATACTTTCCTCTAGGGTTTTTATTGTTTCATGTCTTAGATTTAAATCTTTTATTCAGTGTGAGTTAATTTTTCTAAGTGGAGAGAGGTACGGGTCCAGTTTCAGTCTTTTACATGTGTCTATCCAGTTCTCCCAGCATCATTTATTAAATAGAGATTCTCTTCCCCATTGTAAGCTTTTGTTTGGTTTGTTGAAGATCAGATGATGATAAGAGGCTGGTTTCATTTCTAAGTTCTCAATTCTGTTCTATAGATCTGTGCCTCTATTTTTATGCCAATACCATGCTGTTTTGATCACTATAGACTTGTAGTATAACCTAAAGTCTGATAATGTGATGCCTCCAAATTTGTTTTTATTTCACAGAATTGTGTTGGGCATTTGGGGTTTTTTCTGGTTTCATATGAATTGAAAAACTATTTTTTCAAGTTCTTCGAAGTATGACAGTGGTGTTTTAATAGGAACAGCATTAAATCTCTAGATCACTCTGGGTAGTATAGACATGAATAATATTGATTCTACCCAGCCATGAGCACAGTATGTTCTTCCATTTGCTAATGTCTTCTCCTATTTCTTTCTTTTTTTTGTTTGAGACAGAGCCTCAAGCTATTGGCCTGGGTAGAGTGCTATGGCATCACAGCTCACAGCAACCTCCAACTCCTGGGCTCAAGCGATTTTTCTGCCTCTGTCTCCCAAGTAGCTGGGACTACAGGCGCCTACCACAACACCTGGCTATTTTTTGGTTGCAGCTGTCATTGTTGTTTTATGGGCCTATGCTGGATGCAAACCCGCCAGCTCAGGTGTATGTGGCTGGCACTTTAGCCGCTTGAGCCACAGGCACTAAGCCTGCTATTTCTTTTCTCATAGTTTCCTGGTTTTCTTTGCAGAGGCTCATAACCTCCCTCATGAAGTATATTCCAAGTATTTCATTTTCTTTGAAGCTATGAAGAAGGATATTGTGTCTTTGATTTGGTTCTCAGCTTGACTGTTGTTGTTGGCATATATGAAAGCTACAGATTAGTGGACATTGATTTTATATCCCAAGATGTTACTGTATTTCTTGATCACTTCCAGGAGTCTCATGGTTGTGTCCCCGGGGTTTTCTAAGTATAAGATCATATCATCAGCAAGAAGCAAAAGTTTGACTTCCTCTGTCTCCATTTGAATACCCTTGATATCCTTCTCTTGCCTAATTGCATTTCGTAGAATTTCCAGCACTATGTTGAACAGTAGTGATGATAGTAGACATTCTTTCCTGGTTCCAGTTCAAGTAGAAATACTTTCAGTTTTACTCTATTCAGTATGATATTGGCTGTGGGATTGTTGTAGATGATTTCTATCAGTTTAAGAAATGTCCCGTTGTACTCTGGGAAGCCAAAAACAGAAAAACTAGCCAGGCCTTATGGCAGGTGCCTATAGTGACAGCTACTTGGGAAGCTGAGGCAAGAGGATCTTGAGCCCAAGAGTTTGAGGTTGCTGTGAGCTATGATGCTGTGGCACTCTACCCCAGGTGACAGAGTGAAACTCCAAAAAAAAGGTCCTATCTTTTTTTCTTAAGTCCTATTTTCTTTAGCATTTTTATCAGAAAAGGATGCTGAATTTTATTAAATGCTTTTCAGCATCAGTTGAGAGGATCATGTGGTTTTTGTTTTTGTTTCTACTTATGTGGTGAATTACATTTATGGAATTGCATGTGTTGAACCAACCTTACATTCTTGGGATGAAGCCACTTGATCATGATGTATAATTTTTTTTAATATGTAGCTATATTCTATTTGCTAGGATTTTACTGTGTATTTTTTAGTCAATACTCATTAATGATGCTGATCTGTAGTTTTTGTTGTTGTTGTTGTGTCCTTTCCTGGTTTTAGTGTCAGGGTGACATTTGCTTCATAGAAAGAGTTGGGTAAGGTTCTTTCTTTCTCAATGCTTAAGAATAGGTTCTATAATATGGGTATGAACTCTTTGAAGGTTTGATAGAATTCTGATAAAACTATCTCATCTACAATGTTTTTTTTTTTTGATGGAAACTTTTGTATTATTGCAATTTTGGTGCTTGATATTGATGTGTTCAAGAGTTCTATTTCTTCCTGGTTAAGTCTAGGGAGGTAATGTAATTCCAGATATAGTCCATCTCCTTCATATTTTCCTTCCTTCCTTCCTTTCTTCCATCCATCTTTCTTTCTTCCCCTTCCCCCTTCCCTTCCCTTCCCTCAATGGAGTCTCACTTTGTCACCCTCAGTAGAGTGCCATGATTGCACAGCAACCCCAAATTCTTGGGCTCAAGTGATCCTATTGCCTCAGCCTCCCATGTAGCTGGGCCTACAGGTGCCTGCCACAACACCCAGCTATTTCGTTTTTAGAGACAGAGTCTCCCTCTTGCTCAGGCTGGTCTCAAACTCCTGAGCTCAAGCAGTTTCCCCTTCTTGGCCCTCTAGAGTGCTAGGATTATAGGCGTGAGCCACTGCACCTGCACATTTTCAAATTTCTGGCTGCTAAGTTTTTTGTAGTATTCAGTGATGATCTTTTTTATCTCTGTGGTATTGGTTGTTACTTCCCCTTTTTCATTTCTGGTTGAGGTTATTAGAGATCTTTTATGTTTCTAATTAATCTGGCCAAAGTTTATTGATTTTACTTATTTCAAAGAACCAACTTTTTGTTTGTTAATCTTGTTGTTGGATCTTTTGTCCTCAATTTCATTTAATTCTGATCTAATTTTGGTTATTTCTTTCGTTCTTCTAGGTTTGGGATTGGATTGCTCTTCCTTTTCCAATTCCTTGAGATGATTTCATTAGGTTGTTGATTTAATGCTTTTTGATTTTTTTTTTCCTGCTGTTTTTGGCTGGGCCTGGGTTTGAACCTGCCACCTCCAGCATATAGGGCCAGCGCCCTACTCCTTTGAGCCACAGGCGCCACTCCTCTTTCTGCTTTTTGGATATGGGCTTCAGTGCAATAAATTTCACCCTTAGACTACTTTTGCAATATCTCACAGGTTTAGATAGCTTGTGGCTTCATTGTCATTTTGTTCTAGGAATCTAATGATTTCCTTCTTTACACCTCCTTGATGCAGCTATCATAAGGTTGTTTAGTTTCCATGACTTTAGCACAAGGTTGTTTAGTTTCCATGACTCTGTGTGGGGATGAAGGTTTTTGTTGGAGTTGAGTTCTGTTTTCATCCCGTTGTAGTCTGTAAAAATACAAGATATAATTTCTATTCTTTTAAATTTGTTGAGATTTGATTTGTGTCCTAGGATATGATCAATTTTGGAGAATGATCTGTGAGCTGAGGAGAAGAACTCAGTATTATTGGGGTGGAATGTTCTGTATATGTCCTTTAAGCCCATTTGTTCTAGAATAATGTTTAAGTCCATCATTTGTTTAGTTTCGACATGGGAAGATCTGTCCAGTTTTATCAGTGGTATGCTGAAGTCCCAGCTGTTATGGTGGTACAGGATATCACATTGTTCAGACTAGTTAGGGTTCATTTTATGTACCTGGTAGCATTTAAGTTGGATGCATAAATATTTAGAATTTAAATGTCTTCTCATTGTATTGCTCCCTTGACCAGTATATAGTGTCCACCTTTGTCTTTCTTTCCTTCCATTGCCTTAAAGCCAAATGTATCTGAAAATAGGATCATGACACCTGTTTTCTTCTGATTTCTATTTGCCTAAAATACTGTTTTCCAACCATTCACACTGAGTCTTTTGTCCTTGGAGGTTAGATGTATTTCCTGAAGACATCATATGCTGGGCTTGTACCTTTTATCCAGTCAGCCAGCTTGTGCCTTGTCAGTGGGGAATTAAAGCCATTCACATTTATTGATAAGTATGGTGGAGTTCTGTTTGTCTTGTTTTGGAAGTCTGTTGCCTAGTTTTATCACTTGTGGAAGCTAGGTTCTGTCCTTTAGTTTCTGGGTGTCTTTACTTTGATTGTTGGTTGATTGTGATGTTCTGTGTGTATAGTATGCATCTGAGTTGGTTACTGCAGAGCTGGTTTTGTAGTGACAAATTTCCTCAATGTTTGTCAGTAAAAGATTTCATTTCTCCACTGAACATGAAACTTAGTTTAGCAGGATACAGAATCCTAGGCTGAAAGCTGTTTTATTTACGAAAATTAAAGATAAGTAACCACTCTCTTCAGGCTTATTAAATTTCCACAGAAATTTACCTAATGTTTTTATCCTAATGTTTGTTACCCTAATGTTTTTACCCTTGTAGGTAAGATGTCACTTACGCCTGACTGCATGCAGAATTTTCTCTTTCATTTTGACTTTGGCTAAATTAATTACAGTGTGTCTAGGAGATGCATTCCTTGAATTGAGTCATCTCAGAGTTGTATAACTATTTGGTATCTATATTTCTGGGTCTCTGGCAATGCTTGGGAAATTCTCCACAAAGATGTCCTCAAGCACTTCACGCCAGAGCTCCAGGGAGGTAGCGTCGGGTGTGGATCTGGCCACCATTGCAGGGACTCTGAGGGAAAAGCTCGCAGCAGGTGGACGTGGCACCGCCGCCATGGGCAAAGGAGACCCCAACAAGCCGTGGGGCAAGATGTCATCGTACACCTTCTTCATGCAGACGTGCCACGAAGAGCACAAGAAGAAGCACCGGACTCCTCCGTCAACTTCGCCGAGTTCTCAAAGAAGTGCTCAGAGTGGTGGAAGACCATGTCTGCAAAGGAAAAGTCCAAGTTTGAAGATATGGCCAAAAATGACAAAGCTCACTATGACAGGGAGATGAAGAACTACGTTCCTCCCAAAGGCGGCAAGAAAGGAAAGAAAAAGATCCCAATGCTCCTAAAAGGCCCCCGTCTGCCTTTTTCCTGTTTTGTTCAGAACGCCCAAAGATCAAAAGTGAATACCCCGGCCTATCCATTGCGGATACTGCAAAAAAATTGAGTGAAATGTGGTCTGAGCAGTCAGCCAAAGATAAACAGCCATACGAACAGAAAGCAGCAAAGCTAAAGGAAAAATATGGAAAGGATATTGCTGCATACCATGCCAAGGACAAAAGTGAAGCAGGGAAGAAAGGCCCTGGCAGGCCAACAGGTTCAAAGAAGAATGAACCTGAAGATGAGGAGGAAGAGGAAGAAGATGAAGAATAAATGGCTATCCTGTAATGATGCGTATGGAGTATGTGTGTATGCTCAGGCAATTGTTTTGCTAAGAATGTGAATTCAAGTGCAGCTCAATATTAGCTCAGTATAAGAGCTGTACAGATTTTTGTATAGCTGATAAGATTCTTTGTAGAGAAAATACTTTTAAAAAATGCAGGTTGTAGCTTTTTGAGGGGCTACTACACACAGTTAGATTTTAAAGCTTCTGATGTTGAATGTTCCTAAATATTTAATGGTTTAATTTCTTGACTTGTGTATGGTAGCACAGCAAACTTGTAGGAATTAGTTTACATAGTAAGTTTTGGGTTTTTTAGGATCTTGCATTTTGTTTTTTTAAAAATATTTTGTAATAAAAGTATGTATATTAAAAAAAAAAAAAGATGTCCTCAAGTAGAGTTCCCATGCCTTTAGGATTCTCTTCTTCAGATGTTTGTATGCTTTGTGTAGTCCCGTATCTTTTTCTTTCTTTCTTTTTTTTTTTTCCTGAGATAGTCTCACTTTGTCACCCTCAGAAGAGTGCCATGTCATCATAGCTCACAGCAACTTCAAACTCTTGGGTACAAATGATCCTCTTACCTCAGCCTACCAAGTAGCTGGGACTGCAGGTGCCCGCCCCAACACCCAGATATTTTTTTAGAGATGGGGTCTCACTATACCTCAGGCTGGTCTCAAACTTCTGAGCTCAGGCAACCCACCCTCCTCAGCCTCCTAAAGTGCTAGGATTACAGGTTTAACCCATAGCATCCAGTCCCCCATATCTTTCTAAGAGACTGTTTTGCTTTTGCTCCCCTCTTTTGTGCTTCTTTAAATGCTTGGGTTAGTTTGAAAGTCTTGTCCTTGAGTTCTGAGATTCTTTTCTATATTCTGTTTGATTGCTGAGACTCTGTACTGTGTTTTGAAACTCCAAACACTTCTCTCAAGTACTCCATTATACTCCATTATTTGCACTCCATTATATTCTTCCTAATTATGTCCAGATCTTTGGTGGCATTGTCTTTAATTACATGGATTTCTTGAGACAGTTTGTATGGTTTTTCCACCTTCTCTTCAATTCTGTTCATCTTACTTGCCATCCATATTTTGAAGTCTATTTCTCTCATTTCAACAAATTCCTTATGGATGGCATTTTCAGCTGTAGTTCCATTGTAATCCCTTAGAGCACTGGGTTTTCAACCTGTGGGTCGCAACCCATAGGAACTGTATTAAAGGGCCATGGCATTAGGAAGGTTGAGAACCAGTGCTGTAAAGGATTACAATGATCTGCTCTGAATTTTCATGTTATCAGGGTTCTTTTGCTAATTCCTCACCATCTGTATATTCTATATTATTATTATTATTATTATTTTAGTTCTAAGCTGAAAGGTTAGGGTGACCCTAAGTTGTAGATGAGAAATATTCCAGTTGGGCTCGATGAGGCAGCTCACAGGAGGCAATCAGTGAGCCACTGATTTCTCCTGTGGCCCTTCCCACTCACAGCCTGCCAAAGTTGCCCATGAGGGCTACAGAGGGCAGTCATCCCTATGGGACAGCTTCTAAGTTGGAAGGGAAGGGGCTAGGGGCAGAGCTGTAGGTGAAGTTCCTAGGCAGGGGACAGTGCACAGATGGCCAGGCAAACCATCCCAGAGGGTGGAGTTAGAACCAGCCAGGTGGAAGCCAGGCACCACCAAAGCCTATACCATCAGCAACAGATTTTTAAAAGCCATGATTTCCTGTGGTGATCAGGGAAAAGAATCTGCAGGTAGTCATTGCCTCTCTGATCTTTCCAGTGTAGGTTTACACAGGTCTCAGGGTTATGCAATGCAGAGGCCCCCACTGAGTACTCACCACATATGGTAGGAAGACATGGCCCATTTCCCTTCAATGTTTCTGTGCTTTGGCTGCTTCACAAGCAGTTGTTTCTGCCAAATGCTGGGCAGGGAGAAACTGGCCTCCTCCCCAACACTTGCTTCTCTGGTGGCTATGGAGGCGGGGCAGGGTCCAAAGTTCCTTCATTGCTTCAGCACCTGGGGGTAGGGCACCTCTGCCAGTCTGTCTGAGCCAGGCTGGTATTCCCATCATGCCCACACAGAAGGAAGCAGACCTCTGCAAGGGGCTCTCGATCCACTTTCTAAATGGACTGTCACATGGACTGTGGCTACAAGCTGACTAGAGCTCAAATTGCTTTCTAATTCTATGGGGCAAGAGGGAGAAAAGCCTACATACAAGAAAGCTGAGTCTCTCTGGTTCCTCACGGTACTCTCCTGTGGGTTGTTTTGTTGCTCACCAACAGCTCCCCTCCAAATCTGGTCTACTCTTGAGACTGTCCTCTGTTCTTCTCTTCCTTGTCTTCATCCTTACTGTTCCTCTCAGTGAGGTCACTGAACACCTATGTTTCCTCTTCCTGCACCCTACCCGCCGATTTCAATTTGTCCAGGTTCACTTCAGTCTGGTCTTCCTCCTTCCATTCAGGACAATCAGACAAGAGCTACCTGTAGTTGGCCATCTTGCCCCCTCCCTTGAGAACTTTTTTTTTTTAAACATCATGAATTTAGACTGCTTACTTATATGATAATCAGTTTTGTCATCTTTCTGTTTGTCTGAGTTCTAGTCTAGATGTCCATTGAGAAAATCCAAAATAAATTTAGGCCTTCTATAAAAAAAAAAAAAAAATCCTCTTAACTCTGGCATTGGCTGCCACCATTCCTAACTCTACCAAACTTATTGTTGAGCACTAATTTTTCTTTCATTCCCTAAATCCATTTGCCAACTTTGATTTTTTTGGTCCCTTAAAATGCAATTGATCCTTATCTTCAGACGTTTTATTTAAAAAAACGTAAGACAGGAAGGGGAGGAAAGAGGAGGAAGAAAGAAGGAAGGAAGGAAAGAAAAATAAATTAAATGAAATTTACTATCCAGTCCAACATTTTATTTTTCCATCAACACTAATCTGGTTGAAGGCCTTAAAACTTTTAGATTAGAACTGTGGCTTCAGCTCGGCACCTGTGGCTCAAGTGGCTAAGGCACCAGCCACATACACCTAAAGTGGCGGGTTCAAATCCAGCCTGGGCCCGCCAAACAACAATGACGGCTACAACCAAAAAATAAGCCGGGCGTTGTGACGGGCGCCTGTAGTCCCAGCTACTTGGGAGGCTGAGGCAGGAGACTCATTTGAGCCCAGGAGTTGGAGGTTGCTATGAGCTGTGATGCCACGGCACTCTACCCAGGGGGACAGCTTGAGGCTCAGTCTCAAAAAAAAAAAAAAAGAACTGTGGCTTCCTGAATGGCCTCTCTGTTTTAGGTTCTCACCCCTCAGGGCTGTCCTCTTTGGTCATCATTTCTCTTTATTATTTTCCTGCCCCCAAACCAGTTTTGCAGTTCTAATGCTCAGCACTTAGCTGTGTTTTCAGAATCTTCCATACTCTGAACTGGGGGTCACACTCTAGTAAGTTGTGGCTCTAACATTGGAACCCCAGTCTACTTGATTTTAAATCAAACATCCTTCTGTTGGTTTTCCCTCAATTCTGTCTTGTTAAGTTTTTTTTTTTCTTCAAAATATACATTCCTTAAGAATTTGAAATTAGCCTTTTTCAAAGAGTTTCATGTGAAGCCTGAATGTATTGCCGTTCACAGGATTGTGCTGTGGACTTGTGCTTGGTCTTTGGAACACAGGTAGTTACAAAGAAGTTAAGCAGACCTGCCTCTCTGTGCTTTTGAAGCTCTTGTCGTATACTTGGGTTCATTATGAAAAGCTTGCTTTTGACACTGTCATATGTAGAAAATTGTGATTGTCAACCTGCCAAGGAACCCTCAGCATTCTGCTAAGACAGTGGTTCTCAAACTTTTCAGAATCACTTAGAGTGCCTGTTTAAACAGATTGCTGGGCTCATACCCAGAGTTTCTAATTCAGCAGGTTTGGAGTAGGGCCTGAGAATTTGTATCTCTAATAAGTTCCCAGGAGATGGTGTTGCTGCCGATCAAGAGGCCACACTTTGAGAACCATTACACTCAGGAAGGCAGCACTACAGCACAGTACATTCATGCTTTTCCTAGCTGTTCTAAGGACTCTTTGCTAATTACAAGACTTATTCACCTACAGAGAGTCTATGCAGGGTTTGTAGGAACTACAAATATAGTAGAGAAAAATGGGCTGCTACTTTTAGTTCCTGAGTTAGAAAAAAACAGAAGCAATCAGACATGAAGTTTCCTCCTCTCCCCAACTACTAATCTGTTAACCTATCCATGTCTGAACACATACACTTTGCCTTCTCTTATGTTAAAGTTAATAAAGTATCTCTACTCCCATGAATGGCTAATCCTTATATATTTGTGCTAGGTTCTAACCCATCTCCTTTTCTCAAGATCTTTGCTTATGCAATTACTCCCTTTCTTTGGCACATTAACTTTTCTCTCTCTCCCATCAGCATAGAGATATGCTTTAATATTTTTACTCTCAAAAAATTTTTTTTGAAACAGAGTCTCACTTTGTCACCCTTGGTAGAGGGCCATGGCATCATAGCTCACAGCAACCTCAAACTCTTGGGCTTAAGCAATTCTCTTGCCTCAGCCTCCCAAATGGCTGGGTCTATAGACGCCTGCCACAACGCCTGGCTATTTTTAGAGACTAGATCTTGCTCAGGCTGGTCTCAAACCTATGAACTCAGGCATTCCACTTGCCTTGGTCTCCCAGAGTTCTGAGATTACAGTCATGAGCCACCGGCCCTCTCAAGTTTTTTAAAATTTCTCTTTGATACTCCAGATATCTCCTCCAACTATTACCCCATTTCTCTTTACTTCAAAGCAATACTACCTTCTTTTTTTCCCCTCTCCCTCCCCAAGGCAGCACTTCTTTAAAAAGTTATCTGCAGTCACTCTTTGATTTGCTCACCTTCATTCTTCCTTTAGCCTGCTCCAGTTGAGTTTCCGTTGCTCATTGCTATCACTCCACTGAAGTGGCTCTTGTCAAAATAACCAGTGAATTCCATATTACTACATACAGTGTTCGTCTTACATTCACCTCTTAGCAGTTTTCTTTTTTTTTTTTTTTTTTTTTTTTTCATTATGTCGCCCTCAGTAGAGTGCTGTGGTATCACAGCTCAGAGAACCTCCAACTCTTGGGCTTAAGCAGTTCTCTTGCCTCCAACTCTTAGG